CTGAGCCACTCGCTTCGTTTTCCAAGAAAACTGTCAGATGGCGCTCATGTCTCACGTGTGACGTGACTTGATGCACTCGTTCGCCTCCGCTGCTCGCTCGAGGCACTCTAACGCAGCGTCTCCAGAATATCATTCACCAATTTTCTTGCACAGAACATCAAATAAGGGTTTTGTTCACTCTCTCCACACGCAACACTATCGTCTTTCGACGAAATTTGCAGATTAACATGCAGATACGGGGTGAATTTTTTTATATTTCGCACGCATTTGTAGTTAGCAGAAAAACAATTATAATTAACAGATATTAAGATGAAAATTGTCTAATCGGACGTTTTGCAAACCGATCTTCAGATTTCTCATTGGAATTTTTTATCCATCTTCGTTCCTTCAAAAGTTAGTTAATTAAACAGATCTAATTAAACAATCATTTAGAGCACAAAGAAACTGTGCGACTAACCCTAGGCAATGGTAAGCAACATGCATTTGGTCGCGTCGTAATTGCGAGTGTTGGCATATTTTTAAACTCTGGCTAAATACAGCTCCTGTATGAGACGCAAGGTTTGAAAGCATCGGACGAATACCACTCAGTGAAAGCTATATTTTGTCAGCAATGAGTGACCAAACAATGTCAAAAACGACTACAAGGGCTCTTTTAGACTTCATCAAAAGCACCGGACTACATTCTAGGCTGTAGGGTGCTATTCAAAGTGCACATGGCTACTGTACATACACACCGCCTCTTCCTGTCCCCTACATCATCCTTCAGCCCTCTTTCCTTCCCTCTTCTCTTATTCCCTGTGTAGAGTAGCAGGCTAGAGCGAACTAGCTCAGGCCGACCTCTCTGCATTGTAAAAAATTCTCTCTGTCTCGCTCGGCCCACTGCGGTGGTTAGTGGCTAAGGTACTGGGCTGATGACCCGCCGGTCGCTGGTTCGAATCCCGGCTGCGGCGGCTGCCTTTTAGGTGGAAGCGGAAATGTTGTAGGCCCGTATGCTCAGATTTGGGTGCACGGTAAAGAACCCAAGGTGGTCGTGATTTCCGGAGCCCTCCACTATGGCACCTCTCATAATGATATGGTGGTTTTGGGACAATAAACCCCACATATCAATCAATCGATCAATCTCTCTCTCTCTCTCTCTCTCTGCCGACAAAGTAGACGAAAATAATTTTATTCCGGCGTAAAGGGTGTGTAGCCTAATGATATCATTAGTATTATAAAATATTATTAGGATACTGTTTGTGTTTACTGTGCGATGTGATTCTATGGTAAAGAGCACGAGATGGTCGAAATTTGCGGAACTCTCCACTACGCCACCCCACATATTCACATCGTTGTTTTGTGACGTAAGACCCAATATATTATTATTAGGACGCTGTTTGTTCTGTTGTTTTTCACGGAGACGTAATATCCACTGTGGCGTGTAGTGTTTATTTTGCTTGATTGCATACCCGCCATGGTGGTATAGTAGGTGTGATTAGATACCAGATTATTGGCAAATTCTATTTCGTTTATTGCCTTCCTATCATCAATATGATATATGAGCATGACTTAGAGGGTAAGGAGGGCTTATATAGTGTTTTTATAAAACCTATAAATGCCTATTTTGGACATTTGTGCGTAAACATGATTAAGTGCCTATACACGCCTATTTTCAAAATCCACGCCAATATCTGAACACTACTTAATCTAAAATATTGCATTCGAGTACGATTGGTACAATTGGAGATCGTTATACAAGTCACCAGCCAAATTTAGCTGTCCGACCTCTACGGGGTGCAACCTGTACTCCATCCTAGAAGTTCCATTCTGCGCTTTCAAGCCTGCAAGGCCCTTAGCGAATAGGAAAGCCGATTAGTCTCTACAGAAGTATTCATCCCCGTCGCGTCGTCTGCTCGGAATCTCTCCGACGTCTGTTCGCGCACGTAAGGAGCAGGATGTGCTTTGTGCACCCGCAGGACGATGGAGAACTGAAGGTCGTTTCACATGACACAAAAAGTAGCGTTTTTCAGGCTGCGAAGCCGCTCGCAGCGAAAAAAAAAAGGCAGTTCGCTACTGCCGCAGCGGTCCGCGGCGAGCTTCCAACATGTTGGAAATTTTCGCTCTGATCGCCGCGGCGGGAGTGATTTTGGTAGGGACCCGTCGAAATAGGGCTGGTCCGCCCAAGCCGTCGAAATAAAGTCGACGTGTTTGTTTTGGTAATGGCTGATGCTGTGCATTTTAAAATGAATTCAGACTGGAAAGTGTTCTTAAATGACAAAACAAGCAAGCCCTTCGTTACAGTTCACGGTAACTTCATGATATCAAAATGCACATATTATTACATTACATTCGTGTCTGTCACAATGAGTGGTGGAAAGAACTCACCACTCCAGTTGCAGAGCGAAAATCGTGGACCGTTCGTGGTCCATGTGAAACGAAACCGCCATTAGCGACGGTTGCGAACAGAGCGATTGGAGCGAACGGAACGATTTTTTTCGCTGCAATCGCGGCATGTGCAACAGCCTTAATGCGAAACCGTGCATGTAATGTCATCAGGAAAAAGCAGGGTGTAGGTAGAAAAAAATGGCATCATATCCACGGGGTGAAAAATGGAGAGTGGGGCGAAGCATCCGTCCATCCATTCGTTCTTGCTTCCGTCCGTTCATGCGTCTGTCGGCGTGACCGTCCGTGCGTCCATCCGCTCGGCCGTGCGTGCTTCTGTTAGTGCATCCGCATGTCCATACGTGCATCCGTCCCTGCGTTCGTCCACGCATCCTCCCCTGCGTCCGTTCATGCGTCCATCCATCCGTGCAGCCGTCCATGCATCTGTCTGTGTGTCCATTCATCCATCTAGTGAACACTCCAAGTACCACCATCTCGCATCTTTTCATCATATATTTCGCATATAAAACCGCCACCATCCAGCGGACATTCCAAGGACTAAACGAGAGGTGGCACACGCACACTTTCTTACAGCTTGCGCTTCGTGTCTACTTCCCACCTTTGACCACCTCGAGTTCATGATATATACTAGTTCACTGTATTCATGACACTGCGGCCCAACGCTCGCTAAACCTTTCTAAAACCAAGGAGGTTACGCCCAACGAGTATGACGTAGCAACCCTTTCTTGTCAGATAGTGCTCAATGTACATGCTAATGGGTGCTAATAAGGACTTAGAGACAGGAGAATTCGGCTTTTAAATAACACGCACGCTGAAAATTTTTTAATTGTTGAACAGCGCACAGGAGAAATCTCCTACAGACACCACCTTGCAGGTCAAAACGTAAGACTGGTTGCGCACTACGATGAGGGACGAACGGGTGCCGCTTTAAAGAGCTTCGCCCCCTAAAACAGATGTCCACGTGTTTTTTTTTTTTTCATGATTTACTTCTTCAAGGGTGCTTCACGAGGTCACATAACAAATTTTTGTTACACTGAAAGTTGTTGCACGCGCAGCTTTGTACCACAAGAATTTTCTAATCGGATCATAACGAGCCGTCAAAGTATGATGCCAGGGTTTGAGCTTGAAACGTTTGCCAGTCGCCCGGTGTAGAGTTGACAAGCCAAATTCGTTCCCTGCACTCTTCGGTATCGGAGCAACTCGAAGCTGGAAAATCACACGACGCAGATGCATCTGCACGTCATGCTCACTCAAGATGACCCACGCATGACATGCCCAAGTCGTTTCGGCGTTATCTGTGTTGTACATGCCGCTGGTTTTTGTGGAATTAATCCTTCTATGAGCACAGTTTTGGAGAAGCTGGAATGAATCATGTATCCTTACAGGCGAAAAGCGATGACAGACAGTCAAGGTGGCCAACGCATTTCATCAAATTCGGACCAATTAACCCAACACCCCTGGCCCCGAGGAGAAGAATAAACGTCACAGAAACTAGCATGTTCAGGTTTCCGGGCTTAACCGTCCCATGAGATGATGTCAAAGCCTTGCCTCGACATCCAGAGGCGCAGTACATATTTTCATGGAACATTTGATGACCAGGACTAAGGGCGAATCCGCCATAGTGGCATTATGCATGCACTGCTAAGCAAAAGCGGGGGTTCTATTCCCGGCCATGGCGATTTCGTTTCGACGGAAGTGACATGTAAACAACACAAGTTTACGTTTTTTTATCTTGTGTGTACACAGGCCTACGATTCTGGCTAGTCTGTATTGTATAAGCTAGCGGGGCCACCGATTACTATGCATGCTCAGATAAACTTCATTATTCCTTTTTTCTCACCGTTGGGGTCGCTTTCGGGTAATATTCAATGCTTGTGCTTTCCGTACACAACCACTTCTGAAGATATTTGCATGTATAACTTCTTGCGGCGCAATAAAGTTCAGCAATTTGTGCTAACCACCGCAAGCCCATAGTCACTTAAAGACCACGGGGGTCATGATCATGCACCTTCTTCCACCTAACGTATGCTTCGAATTGTATGACGTTGAAAAGAAGGTGCAAATTGGGACTTCAATTAGATTTTCTAAATAAAAGTGTTCCATGTGCTTGCCCCACCGCGGTGGTCTAGTGGCTAAGGTACTCGGCTGCTGACCCGCAGGTTGCGGGATCGAATCCCGGCTGCGGCGGCTGCATTTCCGATGGAGGCGGAAATGTTGTAGGCCTGTGTGCTCAGACTTGGGTACACGTTAAAGAACCCCAGGTGGTGGAAATTTCCGGAGCCCTCCACTACGGTGTCTCTCATAATCATATGGCGGTTTGGGGACGTTAAACCCCTCATATCAATCAAATCAAATTATGTTCCATATGCTTCCGTACACCAGCTGATGTATATTTCATTTCCTGCAGATTTAGCGCACAGGTGAATGTACACCGGCCTACACTCTTTTGAGCCGAGCAATGTTTTTCATCACTCTCTCTCAATAGGTCTAAAAAGATGTGATTCGAATGTTCCTTCTACAGGTGCTCTGTGGTGACACAGTTCTCTAATTATCGATAGTCCGCGAACCCTCTTGGCGCAGGGTAGCCGACCAGGCAGTAAAGTGGGACGCAGAAGTTCAGTAACTTAAATAATATTTATTGCACAAGGTTCCAGAAGCACACTCAAGAACTCAGACAGATGACCCAGCCACACAGCGAGTGAGGGACAGACGCAAGTCTCATTTACAAAACACGCATTCATGTACAGAAGTGAAAATACAACGCACTGACGCAGAACACAGTTTGGCAGTTCTCCTGTCTACAGCAGCCCATCCCGTATAGTGTAAGAACGTCGAGTATTGAACTGACAACAGATGCCGCTCCCTTGCCCATTGGCGCAAGCGCCTACAACGACAGGTAATAACATCGAAACAACAAACAGCACAGATGCACACTTCCCATATGTTAAAGTAAACGAGAAAAGCTGTAAGCAAGAAAGTGCACTCATACTAAAAGCCACTAGCCACACCACACTAATGCACGATGAACATGGTGATGGGTCAATAGGACAGAGAGCTTGCTTCCCGAAAACTCTACCAAACACACGCTAGAATAAAATCGCCCAAGACGAACCCACAAACGAACAACGATGAAGGCAGTGTAATGCCTCGCTGTCGTTACCAGGAAACAAAAACAGCAGCGCATGCCCACAGCACGCCCAGAACTGTCCCGATGGAAAAGCATTATTCTCTTCTCGGGAGCCAGCTCAACCGAGCAAAAGGCAGGCTTGCAAAAAAGCTTCTGTTAAGACCTAGACGTGCAAAAAGCATCGTCTCATGCCTTGCCATTTGTTATTAGCAATCACAGTACAACAAAGCTAGAACTCACCCCCTCCACACCAAACACGGCACACAACACACACAGATTTACAAGTGCAAAGTCCTCGAGAATCGGTGAAAGCATGAAGCCCCACAGCTCACCATCTACGGTACACCAACACACTCAACTTTTTTTCTGTTCCCAAAAGTATGCGTTAGCACCCAACGGCTTTAGTTCCACAACTCACCGCGCGCTCATAAAAGTTGGACGTTCTCGTATCTCTGAATCATCTATCATGTCATATTCGCCAAAACAGGTCTAGTAAATGGAAGCTCCGTCAGATTGTAAGGAGACAAGCTTTAACAACAGGTGTGCTCGTTAGTGGCGCGGCAGCTAGAGTATTTTTCTCTCACATTTTGCTAGAAACAATCACAGTAATAAGCATAAGAGGTGTTTTAGTTGCCGTTGGGTGTCACAAACTGCACCCTTTAGGTTGTTAAAAAGCTTCCGTATGCGGCAGCGGTTATAATATCTTAAGGGGCACTAGTACTTCCAGGGGCCACTTCCGCCTCCGGCACCACCTGCTCCGCTGCTGTATCCGCCAGAGCTTCCGCCGTATTTCCCAGCAGAGCCTCCGTATCCGCCAGCACCACTACCGTATCCTCCGGCACCTCCGCCAAATTTACCGGCTCCGTATCCACCCGCACCTCCGCCATAACCACCGGCTCCGCCATGGTGGCCTCCAGCGCCGCCGCCGGCACCACCGTGGTGCCCTCCTCCGGTGCCGCCATGGTGACCTCCGCCATATCCACCGGCTCCACCCGCACTTCCGTATCCGCCTGCTCCGCCTGCACCGCCGTATCCACCTGCTCCACCTGCACCACCGTATCCACCTGCTCCGCCCGCACCACCGTATCCACCTGCTCCGCCATATCCACCTCCACCGCGGGCTCCAGCGTACTGGCTGACGACGCCTGCGGGTGGCTGCTCGACGACAAACTCGGCGTCAGCGGGACTGGCTGGTCCCACTCCCGGCTCGTTGGTCTTGACGACGGCACGGAATCCATTCTGGTCAGCAACGTAACTGACTTGGCGGTAGATGCCATTGGTGTCGGTGTAGCCATAGCTGCCCTTGACAGTGCCGCTGCCATCTCCACTCTCCTGGCGGTTCTGGCTGTTACCGTACTCGTCCTTCACGTCGTAGCCGAAGTTGTACGGGGTGGGCTGGCCCTGTATGCATACCAGGGACAGCACTGTCAAGTTGTTCTTGGACGTTTGCAATTCGTGAGTGAGGACTCACTTCTGACTTGTTCATGTTAATAATGTTTTCAACTAGTGTCTAATTGTGTGTAGACCTGCTTCATTTTCAAGTACAAAAATGAACTCACATAGTCACCACCTCCTCCATAGCCGCCAGCGCCTCCTCCATATCCGCCAGCTCCACCACCATAACCACCGGCCCCTCCACGGGAACCACCGTAGCCGCCTGCACCTCCAGCGCCGCCATATCCACCGCCACCAAGACCACCTCCTCCACCATGGTGGCCACCTCCTAGGCCACCACCGAGGCCTCCACCGAGGCCTCCTCCCGCTCCTCCGGCGCCTCCACCATGGTGGCCTCCGAAACCTCCCGCGCCACCACCAGCACCCCCTCCGTGGTGGCCTCCAAAGCCTCCTGCTCCACCACCTGTTCCACCACCATGGTGGCCTCCAAGTCCGCCGGCTCCGCCACCACCAGCCCCGCCGTGGTGACCGCCAAATCCTCCAGCACCACCACCTCCATGGTGACCACCAGCTCCTCCACCATAGGCTCCTCCTCCACGGCCCGCGCCCAAGACTGTGGCGATCATGAGGCTTAGGCACAGCCCCTGGGCAAGATGAAAAAAAAGTATTAGGCGGCTTGGCAAGCATCACAAGTGGTCAAGCGCTTTTGGCTTGAGAAAGTGAGCAATATTGCTCAAGTATTTTTGACTGAGGAAAGCAAAGCTTAAAATACAAAGGGAAAGGAATAACCTGCATGATTTTATGTTTGTTAGCATGACTATTACCTTTAAAAATTACGGATGAACTTGGTACCGTTATAGGCTCTGCCTTACGCATACCAGCATCCTTTTAAGGAGTCCTGACACACAAATTTAGAGGCGAAATAGCCTCATTCAGCTGTTTTTGGGGACACGCTCGCATCACCCAGAAAATATGAACGGCAATATAGCCTTGAACCTTAATTTAACATACTCAAGTTACATGTGCTACGCAATTAAAATCAATATTTAGCCTATCACGACATCTAGATTTACACTGTCCTTAAACAAACAACCTACGCCTCTAGAATACGAGTCTCTTCACCCGAGGCGTAGTACTTGTCTGCTGGCGAAGAAGATGGTGCAAGAACGCCTGCAGCGTGCTCGTCCCATTTTTGTGTAATCACGTGGTTAGCCGCGTTTACCGTCAGACGCGTCTTCTTGGCGCTTTTGTTAAACCAAAGTTACGATTAGGTTCATTCATTCGATTAGGTGCTGTATAAACAAAACAGTTGCTGACCGCTATAATCATTTCATGAGCTATTTAGAGCCACAGAATAAAACTAGATGTAACACATATGTTTTGGCACTGACTTAATAATACGAGGATTAGGCTTCAAGCTCTCGTACTGACTACAAGGTGCCCTAACACTGTACAACCGACAGCCTACTTTTCATGTTCAACGAAGAAAAACCAATATGTTATTTGTCATGTGGAAAAATCGAAGGGTGAAGCGCGATTTGCGAAAGTGCTATATAAGGAAGAAAATACCAGTAGGAAAGTGCACTATCAACCATCGTAGGTTGCAGAGCCAGAGAAGCTGGAGTGAAAAAAAGGCCTATTCAGGAATGACAAGTAACATGAAGAACAGAAGCAGTAGTAAAACTATTTACAATATTAAACAGGCAGCTATGCTCCTTTCACTTCTGGTCTTTATGGCACATTCATTTTATGAAGTATGGTTTCTTAATAGAAGTGTTAATAATGTACTTATTATTCTGTTCTTTTTCATACCAATTTTGAAGATAGCAATAAACATGGTCGTCCGGATTTACGCTTTTTCTATTTCTTAACATTAGCCGTGATAATGCATGTTTTTCTATCAGATTATTGTTACATTAAGGTTCCAAGTAGCAATTAAATACGTTTACCTTCATTTTGACATACAGGTAATCGGAAAGCTTCATGTTAACAAATGTTTGCCTCAGCAAGTCCATCTTGCAAATACTTATTTTCAATGTGAATTACTAATTTTAAGGGCTTCACAGAAAGTTTTGTTGTTACTAAACGACTAGACATTGATTACTGAAATTTACATGTCATTTGGCTCAATTATTTGAAAGGGGAAGAAAGATAAATAAAAAGAGAAGACAAAAATAAAGTGAAGGGCAGAAAAGTTTAGAAATTATGAGAGAATACGAAAAATACGAAAAAAATGAATGCGAAGTGTAAAATATGAGTACAAATTATGAAAAACTATGAAAATAGTCAACTGTTTACAGAGGAAACTGTTTACAGAAGCTGTCAGGTGATACTTACAATATTAAGCTCGGAAATAAAAATGAGGAGGGAACCTCCCGAGCGTGAACACGCGTAATGATAATGACGACGGGGAGGATCGTAGTCTCGAATCGCCACAATCACACAGCAGCACGGGTATTCTTGGTTTCTCAGCCGTGAAAGTGACATCTATGTATATTTGACCTAGCCGCATCACCTCGTATTCCTTCATTTTTTTTTTTCCTCGTACAACCTCGCTATTACTAAATGAAGCCCATTCTGACCGAGGAAGGCTCGTTCAAAAGCGAGGCAAGGGAGAACGCTCCAAAGAGGGTCTGCAGATATTTGTCGTGCGCCACTTTTTAGGTGCATCAAGTGGACTCATCCTGTAACGTTCCCAAAACTGGCACGAGAACCATTACGCGTCATTCTCGGGAAGGGATGTCGTCCACTGTGGCGAAAACGGGTGGAGGTCGAGCTCAGGTCGGCCGAGTAAAGGCTCATTCATTTCGCTCTCAACATACGGAAAGATGGCAGCGGCGACGAAATGAGGCGGCTTCATTTGGGCCCCCGCCCGCAACTTCCAGCTTCCACTTTGTCGTTCTTGCCACTCTCATTACTTTCCTCCTTACCGTCCGAGGCGAGGAGCAAAGGGCGCCACGAAGGCCGTATAAATAGAAAGCAGGCAGCGGCGCTCTCATTCCGATAGCAACGTCCGGACCGGACAAGGAGGCTTCCCTGCGCGACCGAGGGCTGGTCACGAAAGCGCGCGCGACTCGTGATCCGGGAAAGATGCGCGCATCCGATCTGCTTTCTCGGCATTACTTCTTTTGTGTGTTTTTTGTTTTGGTTGCTCTTGACTGGGGCCGGAAATAGGGCCGAGCAAGCTGGGATGAAAGTGCGCTGATGAAATGAAACCACGATTGGCTATTGCTGTCAGCAGTTGGTGCAGCCGATTATGCTCGCTCTTTTAGAGCTAGTGTTCGCGGTATTACCGGTCTCTTTCTATGGTTCTTTCCTTTCGCGCCGCAGTGATCTAGTAGTTATGTGGCTCGACTAATGGCTCGCAGGTCGTGGGATCGAATCCCTCCTCCGGCGGCTGCGTTTGTACGCAGGCAAAATATCAGAAGCCCGTGTAGCAAGATATAGGTTCATGTTAAAGAAGACCAATCTCTCAATATTTCCGGAGCCCCCCCCCCCCCCCCCCCTTACGGTGTCACTCGCAATCATAGCATGGTTTATCGGACGAAAAAACCACATCAACTATTACTGTTACTCTTATTAATACAAGTTTTTTCTTCAAGGGTCACTATCGCTGGCGGATAAACTTACGAAAAAGTGTCATTCGCTCTTATTAGACACAGACCTGAATTAGCATGCTTGTTACGTGTTATCCCGAGAAATCTCTCTGCAACAACTTTTTCGGGGTCGAGAAGAAAACTACGCGACTATTAACGAGCATTCCTTGGAGGATGTGCTCGCACTGACTTCCACTTTCTGGTGTTGTTTTCTTTTCCCTTCTATAATTATTTCTTTTAGAGTCCCTATCGCAGCATAGCCAAACACGCAGGGGCTTGTTAACTTCCTAGTTTTCTTTTTCTAGCCTTTCTTACTCCCTTTATTATAACACCCGAAACTTTTTCTCGGAAGGAACCTGAACAGCCCTGTTTGCAATATTCGATTGCTTGCCCCTCATTTATGTTATGATATCTGCTTACCATCTTAGCAGTATTTTATTACTACAGATGCGCACTGCTTTGCAAACGAAGAGCGCATTAAGTAGACCCCGGCTTACGTGCACAGTTCTTCCACGTTAAAGCCGTATGCTAGCATTAGGTACCTTCTTAATCTTTTACCATTAGTTTACAGGCATAAATCGCTTGCTCGGTAACTCTTTTCTTTATGTACAAGTCCACATTTTTGTTTTTAAATACCATGAAAGTCTTTCCGAAATAGGGAAGGAGGAATCGCGCAGACTTAGTTTGCAGAAACATAATTGACGACTTAATCTGTAGCGACTTTTCTCAGATGCGCACAAGGTTAGTATAGAAATAAGAGGAAGAATAAGGTCACCACCCCCTCTTCTCCGAGTATGCTGTCGATCACCTTCTTCTATATATAGTCGTCAAAATGCGCTGACAATCGCTGCGAAGGAGCTAGATGCGTAGCTAAAATTATCCATGGTCGTGGGCACTGCCCGCGGCAACACCGATCAATCTCCCTGCATTCTTGGTTTATGCTGTTTTTTTTTTGTTTCCTTACCTGGAGCCAATCGGTCACCCCATACTGCGCAAATAACTACACGCTCTGTCCGAAAGCATATCTTTAAAAATGGTATTGAATAGATATTTTTGCAAAAAAAAAAAACGAACTAAAAAGTGACACAAACTTCAATGTTTGCAGAGTGAACACTCCGAGGTAGAAAATCCTGCATGCTATTCACATAGAACGTTTTGCTGCTTTCATTCGGTAGGCTATATATACACAATATTCCGAAAGTTTCGTGAAGAGTAAAAATACGACTTTTCTTCGAGAAATATTGTAAATGTGCTGAATCATTCAGCATAAGAAAATTCTACTTGAAAATTAAAACGAAAATTCATTGTCCATCTTTTTGCCTCTCCCGCTATACAGATAACATCAATATACATATATACAGTATTATTTCGCACACACTAAAGTGGTCCATCTTAGCTCTTTCTATCAGATCAGAAGATTGTTATCCAACTTGGCTGCGTGGAAATAAAGATTCAAGTGTTTCTAGTAAAATAAAAGAACTAAAGCATCGCAGCTGAAGAAAGAGTTCGTTTTTATCTGGGTATCAAACCATGAACGAATCACGTAGAGAAACGTTGGTCTTACGTTTGATCTCCGGACCAGAATGAATTTTTCAACTGGGAATATTTCTTGATATAAAGAAACTGCACTGATACTGTCTTGTTATTTGTCGTACTGTCGAGTGGATAATAATTTCTCCTCCCATGAACGTTCGTCTATCTTGAGGGCTTCCAAGAAACCCCAATTTTGTTTTCCAGCTTCATCCGAGGCATGCAGGACACTGACTCACAGAATATTCTGCACTCGCTTCTCAACTCTTCGTTTCCTAGCCACATGATTGATCTTCAGCTGTAGTCTATCATGATACATTATATGATGCACTACGACTTCATTTTTTACCTTTGGTCTTTTTCTTAACCAAAAATTATAAATGGACATAGCAGATATCGATATCGTTACGTTGCCTTACGTGCTGCCATAAAAGTTATTCACTCAAAGTCGAAGTCTAATTAATCTCAAGCCTTCTCAATCTAAAATCAAACCTTAAACTTAACAATTTCAGCGTTCTACGCCTGCAACCCACCCTACCCCTGCTACGGACGTTAGACCATTTGAAAAAAAAAAAGGTTGGCCTCATCAATAAGATACTGTGGCTGAGGACTGCCTCGTAGGCTATTGCAAAAATAAGAAGCAAGAAATTGAAATCTGACTCGCTATAAGTTAGATTTTGTTATTTATGCATTGTAATTATGGCCACTTAAATATAGGTAACCAAAACTAAAAGCAACGCATTTGAAGAATTAGAGAACCGTTGTCAAGATGACTATATTTCCTAGCGGTTAATGGTCGAGAAACTGGTGACAGAGACTCAAGCCTGGTGCCTATGGTTAAAACTCCGAGCCATAAAATGGAGACCGAACACTGTGTAGCAGCGGGGGAATCTGTGGTAACGTTCACTGACGCGAGCCGTGTTCCCGAGGGTCGAAGGTGGGAGTCCGCAGCGGGACGGTGTCAAGGGGATCGTGGTTCACTCAGTTCCTCACCTTAAAGAACATCATGGCTCCCGGTCCAAGTCCCAAGTGGGCGGAAACTCCAAGCACGGTGGGTGTGGGAGAACGTGGGGTCACGAGGAAGATCGTCTAAGCAGCGAAGCCAACTTCGCCGGTGTGGTCTTCGTAAGGCAACTCGGCAAGTACACGGTTTGTTTTGCGACAGGAGATCGGAAGACGCTTGCGATGGGAATGATGCTCGCTGCCCGGAGCTCGAGCGCTTATATACCTGCGTGCAGAGGCTCGGCCCAGACCTCGTGAATCCTCGCACGTGGACCGTTACACTTTCTCCCTCATCTCAGCACACCCTCGACCACGGCGGCGGCATCCATCGGCTCGTCGACCACGAGCAGGTGAGGACCTCACGCTCGCCTCCGTGGGAGAAGGATTCAAAAGCGAAAAGAACAAAGAGGCGGCTGGCGTAATGAAAAGAGAAAGCGGGAGCCAAAGATGGACAAACGTTGGAGAGACGGAGGGTAATGGAGGCAGACAGACAGACGAAAGTACAAAACCACAAAGAAGCGAGTGAAGGCAGAACGGCTACGGCGGCTGAATAATATCGAAATTCAGGACAGGCCCTGGACGAAAGTGAAAATAATGGGCCACGACTGAGAAGGTGGACGGGCCTTCCGAAGGAAGGAGGAAGCGCTGTCGGGAAAGGGCGCGAGCTTCTTCTCCGAGATGCCCCCGTGGTGGCCGACGGATGCCGGATTCGCTCGCAGGATTTCAAGCTGGACGGTTGTGCCCTCGCGATCTCCGACTTCAGCGTAGCTCCCGCCGACTGGTTCGCCCTCCGCGGTCTCCTGATGCCGTGTAGCTCTCGCATTGTGGCACCCCGCCCTTGGACTGCTTCGACCGGATCCCCACTTTCCTATCTCCTTCTTTTTCCTCTCGTTGGCTGTCTTCTTCTGCTTCTACTTTCCTTCTATCCTTTTTATCCCTCCTTAACCCCACCCCTATAAGGCACTGCGCCGTGTCGCCTGAAGGCAGACAGAAATTAGGTGCCTTTTTCCTCTTCATTGTAACCACTACCACCACCACGGATGCCGCTTCTTCTCGCTCGCCCGCTGTCAACCTCGCCCGCGGGAACAGCGGGATGTAACGGTACTCCTCCTCGCGGTATCTTCTGGGCAGAGGGCCTCCCTTTCCTCTCCGGAAGGTCCTTTTCGCTCTCGGAACAGGAGCCGACGTCACTGCCGCCACAGGACGTCGCAGAGAAGGAAAGTGACGCTGGCGGTAGCGCTCTAATGCGGGGGGCCATAGCGAAGCCTGTTGCGAAAACAAACAAAAACGTAGGAGGGGGGTAATGATAAAGCCGGCGCGTGAGAGAGTTTATTTTTTGCATGTAGTAGCTGACGTAGTATCTCGGGGGAACCCTCCTGGGAGACGTGGCTGTCCGTCTGCGTCTGTTGATTATTTTTCTACTGCATCGTCGTCGGCGTGGCTCTGGACGAGCAAGAGTTGTGAAAGAGAAGTGGGTGGGGGGGGGGGGGGGGCTTACTGTCCCTTCCATTGAGGACCTTTCTTACGATCAATGTGCACTGTTCCTGGGATTGACGCAAGGCGCCGGTCATACTGTTCGGCCTCTGGCTATGTTTGAGCTTGCATTAGGGTCTGTGATGCAGCATGCGCACTCCCCTGCAATGTCTTGGCACGTGCTTTCTTTTGTGTCCTTTCTCTCTTTATTCGACCATGACGGGGTGTTAATACAGTATTTTAGATGCAAAGTAAAATAATATAGTGTAAATAGAGAGCTATTCTATATGTGAAGCAGTTAAGAAAGCTTCGCACAGACGGGCAGATGCGGAGCCGGCAGCTTCTGTTTATCTTCGGTATTCTTTTTCATTCGTACTGCTTTTTTTTTTCTTTTTCTTTTTGCCTTCCTTATTTTTTTATTTCTGTCTATGTCTCCCTTTCTCTTTATTCATTTTTGTTTTTATCTGTTATGCTTTGTTCTTATCTAATACTTGCTCTTCCTATTATCTTCATTTCTTCCCTTTCTCTCTTCTCACTCTCCATTTCACTCTTGCTTAACTGTTTTTTTCTATCTTTGTACATGGTTTTGCCTGCATTACGTCAAGCGCACTAGTTTTTTATCATCTGATGATAAGTGATCATCCTCAAGGCGCTCGAAGAACTGGAGGAAGACTTCTCTTTTGTGCTAGTGGGCACTCTATGCGCTACTGATGAAGCGTTAAGCTACGTGACGACAGCTGACTAAGAATACAACCGCCCGGCCTCCTGAAGTTCTCCGCACTTGAAACGTTTTCAACACATCATGTACCACTCATTGGTATCTGTCTTTCCGCTCTACGTTCACCTTTGCGTGCTTAATCTATAAGTTTGTGGCACTTAATTGTTTTCTGTATCATACACAACTAGTGCAACCGACAGGCAGTCCAACGGAGGAAAGCATATAGGGTACATTCGAAGATCCCGTGCCCAGTGGCACCCATTGCTCTACCATTCGAGCTATGACCTCCGGCATAGCTCGAATGGTAGAGCATCGGACGCGCAATTCCAAGGTTGTGCGTTTGTACCCCACCGGAAAGGGTGATTTAGAAGCTTACTCGCCGAAATTTTTGTGCTCGTGGCATGCCCCTTGGAATATACGCCAGAGGCGCAGCTCTGCAATGTACCCACTACACATCCACCGTAACTTACATGAAATGGGGAAGCACCCACTATGCCACTATGGCGTCCGTCCTTCTGCTGATGAGCAAGATACCCGCTTCACATCTGTAAGGCGTTATGTGCGCAGGAGGCTCGTCGACAGGCGGAACCCGAAGTGAAGGCCCGCGAAGCAGAGGTGGCAAGCAAGCGGTTGCAATGGAAACTCGAATGGGGACCTGTATCGACATTGACTTCGCCGACTTTCAAGTGCAACCTCTAATTTAAGATCCTCTCGCCACATACTTCACCGTCCACAAAAGTGTAATCTGCAAAGGAGAACGAGTGCCACAGTTTTGTAATCAGTAATGTAATACTTGTGTATGATTGCTTCGATATGTAAACGATTACATCTTGTGTATATATAATTGTACATAATATTGCCCCTATTACAACGTGTCATGTCTTTATATGATGAACTTGTACGGATTATTCACGGGTTCTCCCGATCAGTTCGACCAAGTTCCTCCATCATCATTCCTTTCTTGGAGATGGCAGGATTTCGTCGTTCACCTTAATGCCTTTCAGTTTAGGTCACAATCATAGCACCGCAGTTGGAAAAGCACAAATAATGATCTGCCTAATTGTCCGCCGGTTTCATTAGTTGTCTATAAGAAGTGTTTTCGGAAGGTTGCCTCTCCTATATTCCCTTGCTGCATCACTTCCTCGCCTACGACCCTGCGCCATCTTTCCTTTTTGGCTGCAGGAACAAGCACTTTTGGAATTCTCAAAGCTGACAGATAGTTTGTAGATATATATATATATATATATATATATATATATATATATATATATATATATATATATATATATATATGAAGGAATTCCTGCTCACTGTTCAGAAACAAATCCGAGGTATATAACCAGAAAGTTTAGATAGTAGAGCCAGAAGCCTGTACGTTCAAGTACAGCTTGACGCCTGAGGTAGGTGGGATGCTCCACATGCATCTCCATTTATGGTAGCGATGACATGTACCAACAGTTCCTGCACAGTTAGATGGAATAATTACCCGACAAAGAGTACAAAAAATTGGCTCCAAGAAAGCTCACATAAATAATGTCAATACTTTGGCTCGCGTCCCACATACGGCACCTTTTTTTACTAGTTTATTTTATTTCACAGTTCCATATGCAAAAATCAAGCAAGTTCTTCCACACTTTCATTTGCTTGGTCGCATTGACGGTTGGCTTCATGTGATTACAATGTTTGCTTATAAGCCTGCATCACTATGCACCGCAGTTACCAAGAGCCGTATTGCATAAATCGGCAAACAGTCCTGATTCGGCTCACTTAGATCGAGCCATGAGTGCGTGACTTCGGGTAAGTATTATTTTTGTGAGTTTAAATTGGAGTGAGCCATATTGACAAAAGTTTCAGTGAGTCTCTGTAAGCACTTACCGCAAACTCCATTTCTCGGGTGAATCCGAGTGAGCTGCGCATTTCTTTGCTGGCTTATGGGAAAACTTTTTCACTTCACGATCTGCCATTTATTGCCTGCCGTTTATACTCACGTCCAATCAGACATACTTCAACGCACTAGCATTCATATGCCAGCTCAATATTATTTCTACAGAGGTGTAGGGGGAAAGATGCCTCGTGGTACCCCCTCCCCTCTCTCCTAAGATCTTCCGCGGGATATTCTTGATCAAAACATCTCATGTGGGTGATATTTTTCACTGATACTGTCCTCACTAGATTACAAATAGTGATAGCTAGTAGTTTGTGGCCTAAGTGAGTACGAGCGAGTAATTTTTTGGTGACTTTGAGATCGAGTGGCAAAAAATTTGGTGAGTCACAGTTCGAGTGAGCCCTAACAACAAAAACTGTATTGAGTCCCAGTGAGCTCCACAATTTTTTGTCGAGCCATCAATATACGTATGGAGTTATCTGCTGGATGAAGTAGGGCATGTATAGCGCGTGAAATGCTTATTATCTGTTTTCTTTCCGGTTCACTACACCTCACTGATGAATAACATAACTGATGTTCCTATAATTGACTTTTATATATCTTTATCTTCCTCGCTTTTTCTTTCTCTCACTACATCAGCCTCTTTTCCTCCACTATCTTTCCTCCAGTTCTGCGATGAAACGTGGTCAGTCTGACTAAACCGGCTTCTACATTTCATCTAACATCACATTTCATCTCTATCACATTCTTATCATGTATACAGTAGTCGAAGGTTTAAGCACGATATGCCCCGCCGCGGTGGTCTAGTGGCTAAAGTACTCGGCTGCTGACCCGCAGGGCGCGGGTTCGAATCCCGGCTGCGGCGGCTGCATTTCCGATGGAGGCGGAAATGGTGTAGGCCCGTGTACTCAGATTTGGGTGCACGTTAAAGAACCCCAGGTGGTCAAAATTTCCGGAGCCCTCCACTACGGCGTCTCTCATAATCATATGGTAGTTTTGAGACGTTAAACCCCACATATCAATCAATCAATTAACGCACGATGTCACTTCAACATTCAAGAAAAAAGTTAGATATTTATGGTTTAAACGAAGTAATATCGCGGAAA